TTCATGTGAAATCTCCAGCGGGTCTCCAATATTTTGTTTTATAACAAAACATCCACGTGTTCATTCAAGTGTCACCACACTTTAACTTGTGAGATCAGCTACTTACTTCACAAGTAAGAATGCCACACATGATGGTCTATTATTAATGACGATATTTGTGTCTCGTTATTATTTCGACTACAGAGGATTTAAGATTCAGTCATATGTAATTTGTATCTCACAATCACAACTCCTTATGATTAACAAATCACAAATACTTTAATTTACAGATTCCATTATTTAATTTATTAGAATATTAATTCAATTAAATAATAAATATTGCCATAAATATGTATCGATTATATATATATAGATATATAAAGTGTTTATGTTCAAAATTGATTGGACTTAGGGCATAACATTTACAGGTGCCATGGTGGATAATGCAATTTATTTCTTAAAAACAGTTGGTGAAATTCTCTGACCGCCGAACTTTTTCTATGTGGGTTACTTGTGTTTGTTTATGCCCTCCACACATTTCCGCTGTATTTATCTTAGTTTGCCATTTTTCATGAAATTCGTTTTTTTCGAATGTGACATTTTTCATGACATTCGTTGTAATCAAACAGGAACTTAAATTTTATGATTTGTTGGCCACTTGGCCTAGTAATTCTCAGCAAACACCTTGTCCATGTACTTTTCATTTCACTGTCTATTCCTGACAATACATGCATGATTGGATTTCTAATGCTTGCTCCATAATCCTGAAAATGGTTCTCTTAAATGGAAGATTAACCTGCTTTATCCTTGTGTTGCAGACAATTTAAATATATAATTATGTTCTCTCTCTAATGGCAAGCTTTTAAAAGAGATGGTTAATATGGCATCAAAAGAGACAAAGACCTAGGTTGAACTATTGTCTCTACCCAAAAATTGTGCATGTTCAAGGTGTGGAATGTAAATATATTACTACGTTCTCTCTCTGATAGTTTCTAATAGCCTGAGTTTTTAGATGGGGTGGTTAACACCTTTTAGAGTTCATAATCAGTAATTATCTATGTTGGAAGAATTTCCTTGCACAAATTATAGAGTTCATAATCAGTAATTATCTATGTTTGAAGTAAAATGAATGCCTTTGTTACCTAAATTTGGAAATTGATTGAACTCAATAATTTTTGTTAGGAAATTCTTCCATCATAGATAATTACTGATTATGAATTTTGTGATTTTACACTGTTCTATTGTTTCTGTTTAGTATTCAAGCGCTTTTGAGTGCACCAAACCCAGACGATCCACTCTCTGAAAACATTGCTAAGCATTGGAAAGCAAATGGGGCTGAAGCCGTTGAAACAGGTGTACTTGAAATATTGATATGCCTGATTCTAAGAGAAAGTTGTGCCACTGTTTCTAGTTAATATCATGATTTGTTCTGTTTTTCGAGTTGCAGCAAAAGAATGGGCGCGCTCACATGCAAGTGGTTCATGAAGCGTGCTGAACTTTGGCTACTGTGAACAACACACAATGTATTTTTTGACTCTATCAGAACGAACTTGTTTAAGAACACGAATCTTAAAATTCGACTTATTGTTATAGCTTTTTCGTAAATGTTATATCATATCCAATCGTAGAATCCTGTTTTAAAATGTTAGTTTTCAAGAGTAATTCGAATTCTTACGCGTTGAGTGTTATTTTAAATTTAAAGAAAGCTCATGTAAAAAGTACAAACAAATTTAGAAAAAAAAAAACCACAGCCATGTGTTGCTAGCCTGTA